CTCAGCTCTTCAGCTCAAGGCTAGCACTCTACCACTTGAGCCACAGCGCCACTTCTGGCTTTTTTTCTTTTTGCTTATGTGGTGCTGAGGAATCTAACTCAGGGCCTCATGCATGCAAGGCAAGCGCTCTACCACTGAGCCACCTTCCCAGCCCAACACGAACTTTTTTATTTGCTTTCTGATTCAATGTGCAACATGAGCACACGACTACCCAGCCTCGCCAACAGCTTTGGTGGCTGCACCGCTGTGATTCGGCTAGGAGGGAGATGAAAACTAACACGTCTGCCCATGACTAAGCTGTGTGCGTGTACCTAATGAAATGTATATTTATTCAGTATTCAACGTCTTATGGGGCAAAACAAAAGTAACAGCACACTGAAAGCATGATTTACCTGCCATGTATTGGTAAATGCTGAGAATTTGGAGGCTGTCATCTTTGCTCTTGGTTATGCACAGCATCTGAGTAAAGCTGAAATGCCCTGCGAGCCCCTCCTGGTGCTGCTTGCTTCACTGCCTCCTGCTTCCTCAGGAACCAGTTCCTTTTCTTCTTCTTTTCTCTTCCTGGTTCACACTCCTTCCTTCTGGAGACCCCCAGGCCCTCACCCCACTCCCATTGTCCTTTGCAGTAAGTATGGCTAGACCAGTGCACTCCACCTCCCTCCCACCAAGGGTTAAATTAACTTCTCTCCACGCCTGCCACGTACTCTTGTACCCTTGACATCAATGTTGGGAGAAATAGTGTCTTTTTGGCACATATGGAATTGATTGCAATTTCTTGAAACATTTTAATACGTTTAAAATTTGGCTCATTTCATTATCTTTGCTTCTACTTTGAAGTGTAGATCCTGTCCCTTTTTTGTTTTGTTTTGTTGTTGTTGTTGTGCTTGTACTAGGGCTTGAACTCAGGGCCTGGGTGCTGTCCCATAGTTCTTTGCTCAAGGCTGGCACTCTACCACTTGAGTGAGCCACAGCTCCTTTGGTGGTTAATTGGAGATCAAGAATCTCACAGACTTTCCTGCAAAGACTGGCTTCAAACCTCAGATCCCGGCCTCCTAAGAAGCAAAAATTATGGGCGTGTACCATCAGTGCCCAGCTCATGTTCCCGTTTAATGAGATGTTATTTCTCTAAATACTTTTATATCTGAATAAAGGCTGGCAGGCAAATGAACCCTCTCTGCACAGAGCTCTAGTGCTTCTACCATACAGTTCCCATCATAATGCTTTTTTTTTTTTTTTTTTTGGTCAATCATGGAGCTTTAACCCAGGGCCTGGGCGCTGTCCCTGAGCTCTTTTGCTCAAGGCTAGTGCTCTCCCACCTTGATCACAGTGCCACTTCTGGATTTTGAGTGGTTAACTGGAGAAAAGTGTCTTACAGGGACTTTCCTGCTCTGCCTGGCTTTGAACTGTGATCGTCAGATTTTAGCATCCTGAGTAGCTAGGATTATAAGCGTGAGCCACTGGCACCTGGCTGTAAAAGAACTTTTTTTTTTTGGGGGGGGGGTGGTCCGGTCGTGGGGCCTGAACTCTGGGCCTGGGTGCTGTCCCTCAGCTCTTCAGCTCAAGGCTAGCGCTCTACCACTTGAGCCACAGCGCCACTTCCGGCTTTCTTCTTTTTGCTTATGTGGTGCTGAGGAATCGAACCCAGGGCCTTGAGCATGCAAGGCAACACTCTACCACTGAGCCACCTTCCCAGCCCTGTAAAAGAACTTTTATCTCCTGTGGTGCTGAGGCTTTGCTTGGGCCGAGTAGTGAACAGTGGAACCACGATGTGAAATACAGGCGGTAAGACTCCAGAGGCTCTGGTGGAACGGGAGACAGGGTGGGAAGGGGAGGGACCAGTTGTGGGAGACTGGTGTGTGCCCACTCTCATATGCAGCTATAAGTATGTTACAGAAAACACAAATTAGTTTTCTTTCATCCCAACAACAGAAGTTCCAGGCATGGTGGTGTATGCCTGTAATCCCAGCACTCCAAAGGCTGAGGCAGGAAGGATCCAGAATTTGAGGCCAGTCTGGGCTACATAGTGGATGGAGGGGTGTTCTTAAACAGTTTTACTTTTTGTGGGGAGGGGGGCAGTTAAACATTTCTGCCACCCTTTAACCAAACAACAACAAATCTCTGGGTTGTTGATTTTCTTCTAAACAGATTTTCTCTAAACATCACCCTGATTTCCTTATTAACTCATTATTGGGTTGTTTGGTTGTTTTTTCCTTTAATGAGTCATGTTTTCAACTCTTGGGAACATTATACTTCACAATAATATTGCCTTGAGCTCTGGTAACTGCAGCTTCACGACGAATCTATTCCCAGCTTCATACTCCTACAAGTTCAACCTCC